TGGATGATGGGTGAAGACCATAGTAGCTCTTCAAACCAACATTTCCGAATCAACTTCGGATGATGATATGTGAAGATGACAGTATCTCCTTCACACCAACTTTCTGTCAATGTAAGGTTAAGACTAGTATCTCCTTCAAACTAACCTCCCCGAATCGACGTGCATCAATGTACAGTCAAGACTGTTGTCTCTTCAAACCAGCTTTCCAAATTGACTTGTGACTACGGTATCCGGACTTCCCAAGCAGCTCAACAACCAAGAAAACTTCTGCTATGCCTTTGGATACAGCTTGTGAAATAAAGGAGCAATTGGATGCCAAGTCAAACATGCATTGTTTGATGAGCAATTGTGTATGTTTATTAACTGCGTGACTAGGTGATGAAGTTATTGTGTCTCACTGTGGCGGGCAAGTTCTGCTTTGAGTCTTTTCTTCTTTCTTTTGTTTTATTATTCACTAACCAGTACACTTGTCCCTCCTCGCATATAAATTTACCTACAGACAAAGGTTTAGCTATGAGGTAAACAAACACGGCCACTTAGCAGCACCTCGGCTAGCGCGTAGCCTCACGTAGCCTGCCATGTGGTCGATAGCTGAGCTTCTAGATAGCCCCTTCCTCACTCACGTCTTCCGATCCTTATCTCACACTCACACATTCCTCCCCCTTCACATGCATGAATGGATGTTTGTGAATTGGTTGGCTGTCAGGGTGGGACGTGTGCAGGCCGCTTTGGAATTGCGCAACATAAGAATATAAAGTCATGTCACTATGTCTATACCTGCCAAATATTCTTTTTTTTACCAGTATACCCAACGAAGACACAACACTCTTTACATGGCTAGTGAAAATAAATATTACACAGATAAACCTGTTTACATCCAGCCATGCACATTTGGATTCATGTGTTGCCCCCGTGCACGGCTCCCCGTGACCCGTCGCCGGTGCCCCCGGAATATAGCGGCCAGTCTCCCGTCGCCGGAACCCCTGTGTCCCCAGAGCCCGACTAATTAAGCTGCTGAGTGGCTAGTAACTGTTATGGACCCAGATGCAGACACCGAGACGGCAGGATAGGCGGGGGGGGGGATATTTATTTTTGTAGGGAGATGTATCCAGTCTAGTCGGCAACTGCGAGGCGCTGGCAGGGTGGCGATGTTGCCTGGAGATCCACTGGGTTGGAACGAAAAAACACACTGGTTTGGTTCAGCGTTAACAAAATTCCTATGACCTGATTATTCCCAAAGGAACCGAGAGTATATCGACCACTCTGGTGGAGAAACGATCTGGCGATGAGACCACTGGAAGCCCGGGTATTTCATCTGGCGTTGACGAGGCTCCATGATCCAGAGGTGAGGAGCCCAGATGCCAGCTGATTGCAGCCCCGCCCAAACACACACACACACCAACTGGGAGTAGAGCTGGCGTCACGGTGGAGCCGTGACAGTAACGTTGGAAAACCACCAGCCACAGTGGTTGGTGAGCAAAAATGTTAATGTCAAGCCCTGCTCAGTATACATATAAATAAATAAGTATCTAGCATTTTAAATGTAGGTAGGTCCCCATGACTTGGTGGCTTGAAAAATAGCTTGCAAGCCGAAGAAGTAGGGAACCCCTCAGTTAGGGGGTGCGGTTTGCGGAGGTATTGAAGTTCCGGTCACAATCTCAGCCAAACCCTGGACCTAAATGTATTGACTACATCTGAAAAAAAGGAGGACTTCAAGAACAGTATATGGACAAGTTATTTTCTGGATATCGCTAGATTGAATTGAAGGGAGCATTAGGTTCCCCACAAATTTGACCCACTGGCAAGTGCATTCGTCAGAACAGCCTTTTTTTCCCAATCTTCACAATAATCAAAAAATGGTGCCAAAAAAACACACTCCATTCATTATCCGCTGACACTAACTTGTCAATTCTATTAGTTTTTAGTCAATTCTAAACCTAAGGCTGGGCAAGTTAGCACATTATTGCCACGGTAACGCAATAATAAATTAACGCTGACAATTATTTTATTCCACATCAGGTTTTTTTTTTATCATTATTGTGAATGTCTGTTGCTCTGAATAATCATACAGACAAACCATGGGTCACAACAGGGGGCTGACAGTTGGCTTGGTATATCAGTCGCCACGCCTCTCAACCAACTATGGCTGCTACCACGCCCACATGAAACCAAAACACATGAAACAAAAACACAAATCTATCTCTCTCTCTCTCTCATATGAATATGAATATATATATATATATATATATATATATATATATATATATATATATATATATATATACATATATATATATATATATATATATATATATACATATATATATATACATATATATATAGATAGATAGATATAATGAAAACAATGTGTTTTCCTAACCTCTAGCTGCGAACTGAATTTTAAGCAGACACTTCCACAATTCCTCCAACATGGGTGAACAATAGACAGACACTCATTTGGGGAGTAATAAATAATGTGATTACAGTGAGTACATTTTCCCAACAATCTTATCTCCAAGTTTGCAAGAATGTTGATAACTGTTGAGTCCCCCAAATAAATATAAAGTGTGTTTTTTTATTCATTTTTATTGAGGACTTCACAGATTAAAAAGTCCCTCCACAGTAAATCCCAGCTGTGTCCTTGGAGCTGGACCACTTCAGCTCACTCTAACAGAGACACCTGCTACTGAACATAGAACATGTTTCTGTCGGTACGTTTTCTCATTTATAAATGTCAACTTGCTGTTTAAAGTGTTATGATTGTGCAGATAAAATGTTAATGCCCTGACAGTGGCAAACAGCTTTGGTTCAGTTCTGATTTGATTTGATTATATTGATGTTAAAATTGAGATTTACAAGAAATGGGAATGCTGTCGTTAAAAAACATCAATATGTTGAAATTGTCTGCAAATTTTGTGCATAGCAGTGCACAAAGAAAAATGTACTAGAAACTACAAAAAATGTATTAATTCATCCGAGCAATTTCTCGAATGCAAGTCATGTTAATTATCTTGTGAGATACCTACAATGTTGTGAAAAATAAATGGTATGGAAACCATTTTTTAATGATTTTTTGTTACCTTTTCGGTTTATCAATAGCATGGACAGAGAAGACAGGCAACACAGTTGCCATGGTTACCACGGTTCTTAAATCCGAGTTGCCTTGGGTCTTACATTTTTACACTGTTACATTACATCTTACAAGTTTCACGTTTTTATTTTTCACTCAAGGAAAGTGATTGGTGTGTTTTGTAAAATGCAGTCTGCAGAACCTCCTGCCTTTACTGCTGAACACAGCGCTGTTTATTTTAAAGTCTGTCCCTTTTGAACCGGTTCTGTGTCTAAATTGTACCAACACCAACCAAAGCAATGCCTTGGGTCTCCAGCAATAGCCTTCTGGTGAGAATCAGATGAACCGTTCGCGACTTGTGAGCACACTGACAGATTAATACATTACACTTTCTCATTGTAAAGTTGACGTGCACCTCAATTCCTTGTTGTGCCCCAGTTAACATAGTTAGCTTCAAGGTGTATTTTGCCCTGACTTAAGCCTTTTAGTTTCTCCTTGGGGAGGGAAATGAAGCGTGAATTCAGACAGGAAAACCATCCCCTCACGCTAGGCTTGACATCTCGCTCATACCGCTGCCACACCAGCAGCACATGTTCTACAGTATACGGCTGTCACCACCCATCAGTTGGGCGCTCCCAGCCAATATGGGCAAAGTCACACCATCACCTGCTGCCGTCTCCTTTAAATGTGCTGTACCCCCGCCACCAGCGCCTAGTGGTGTCCCAAGCGACCCTGCGCCTCCCCAACACCATCCGCCTTCTCAGATTCAGCACCCCATCTGCATCTCCACCAACTCCAGCAGAACCTCCATCCACCAGCACCAGTGTCTGCACTTCTCAGGGGGATTCATACATTATGTGCCTGCCGCTCAGGGCAAACACAGCACAATCTCAAATCCCCTCGTTGAGTTCCAGCGCCAAATCAATTCTGTATAACTGATGAACGCATCATCCGCCATATGTTAACTACTAATTACTAACTTTGAAATAACCTCGGGCACAACCCACCAACAACAGCCATTTTTATGCTTCTCAACTGAGTAATCTCAGCTTCTCCTCCATAGCTGACCTTTTTTCAATACTTCTTAATTGTCTGTGGGTTTGTGACTATGTGACATTTCTCAGGGGGATGTTATGAATAAAAAAAGGGTTATTAGTACAGCTTTCATAGTTTTTGCCTAAAGTGAAACTCTATGTGGTACAGAGGAATAAATATTTTTGGTTTGGTGAATGAACTATCACCTTACCACATTGGTATTGGTTCAATTAAGAAAATAAGTAAATACCCAGATGTTTACATGGAGATATGATGGACTACGCCAAAGCCTAAACTCCTGGGAATCCAAAGTATTGAGAGACGGGCAGTCATGCTATGTTTGCTGACGGTAATACAAGTATTATACCAGTTTCATTCATTATGTGAATGAAATCTTACACTTCTAAAAAAGCAATAAATAATTTGCAGCAATGTTAACATTTGTCAACATATTAATGCTTTTTTAATGCTGCACCTGCATTGGCAATAAAGACGCAGATATTCATGAAATGAAATATATATATGTCATATATATTATATATAGTTGGCAATCAAACCAACAGCAGCATCATGTTGGTACTTAAATCCTACATCCTAAATGGTGACTGATCGTGCCCGGGGGCCACAGAAATGCTCTGGTGAAGATGGGAGTTGTCTTTGTAATGCTCCACCATGTCCCTGAGTTGAGTGAAACGGGATTCCTATGATGAGGTTTTTATTTACAAGAGGGAGAAATAATCTGCCTCTCTTGTTGTGTCATGCACATAATCCATGTGTGTGTGTGTGTGTGTGTGCTTCCCCCACCGGAGCCTGTAGGCTACACATATTCAGTCTCTCTCTCTCTCTCTCTCTCTCTCTCTCTCTCTCTCTCTCTCTCTCTCTGAGGTGAGGACAAGTGCACATCGCGTTCAGCATCGCGCACTCAGACGCGCTCCTCTCTGCCTGATGCCATGACCGAGGCTGCCTCCATCCTCTGCTGAGACACCATGCGCTGCCGGCCAAGCTCTGCTGGAATGAACCGATGGAGAGAAGCTTTCAAGGGACTCTTCTGTGGATTAGCGCCGCCAAAATGCCTCATTTGACAAAACCTCTGATTTTACTTCTGTGTCTGGCTGTCACTGGCGAATGCCGTGGGCACGGCCACCGGGTGCGCAGATGGACTGGTACCGTAGAGACCCAGAAGAATGGCCCGTAAGTGGAAAAATATACATTTTGCGTTTATCAAAATAAAATATAAAGACACAAGCTGTAACATTTTCATACTGACGGATGAGCTGAGATGTGCACAGATGTGCAGACACCTAGGAGAGGAAGATAAAAGTTGTTGAATAAAGATCATCAGTAAAACTGTTGGTGCAATGGTCAGTGTGTAACGTTAAATGGGAATTGTTGAACTCTCAAGGCAGTGTTGGTTGTGAGATGCTTGAGAGTGGTGAGCTCATGTTATTGTACCATGGCATATCCTTTTAGAATAATTTACACTTTTCCTAATTAGCAATAGAAAAGAACAATTAAAAGCAACAGAACTGAAATGATCACTTACAGATCTTACAGACAAATTATTTGATTGAAATGTATTTCATCAAAATGTTCTGAAACCAGTTTTGAAATGCAACTTTCTTGATACATTGTTTAAATTATTTAGTTGTTTTTTTTTGTCATTCATGTTTTTTTTGTGATTTGGTGTAAAAGCAACCGTCAGAACTTTAAATACTGCAGAAATAAGCTGTGTCAGTAGTGGTTCCTTGGGTTTATTGCAGAATGATGACATCTTGGTAATGGGCATGCAACATTTTGGTGTACATTGGCAGAATCGTTGGTTATAGTCCAATTTATTTATCCATCACATATGAGAGGAAATCATGTCAAGTTCAGAATGAATGGACTGCGGATACTGTAAGTGCTGTACCAAACGGTCAATCACTGATGGGGAGGGGCTGCATACGAGACACCGACCTGCTACACAGGAGGACTCGGAGGTTCAGAAGGACAATTTGATATAGTGTACAAGACCTCTCTCTCCCCCAGAAAAAATGGACAGCATTCACTAGTTAAAATGGTTGAAACCATCAGCTTTCATTTCAGCCAACATTGGCTCATTTTACATACATAACATAAAAAATGTATCAAACATATATATTTTAAGTAACATTTTTACTAAACCTAACAAAGTCTATATTTTCTTGCACTTTTGTCTTGTTTCTTTATGCATGTTTAAAACGGTAATCGTAATCCTGAAGACAATGCATTTTGTGGAAATGTGCTGCAGTTGCACTCTAATATTGGATATACTCTAGCTTCTTATAGTCCGCTTTGGTTTGTAATTACATGTCCACTTTTAGCTCTGACCATGATCTTTCCACTAAACCGAACTCTTAACCGAGTAGGGGTTTTCTTTTTCTGTAATTCCTATTGTTGTACGTTGTAACAGCAATATTTGCTTTGGGAGACACTGACAAACAATGTCCATCTGATTGGGCAACAGATCACAAAAAAATCTGTTGTTCCTATGCTTAGTTTGAGGGAAATTGGCATAGTATTTGGTTGATATGGAAATCAAAGAGAAGTTTCTCCTGATGTGTGTCGCTGTTTCAGCAAAAGCCAATACTTGGAAGGCAGGACTAAGACTAAGGTGGACTAGGATTCTGGAGTTGAGAGGTTGGTCATTTTAGTAAACAGAAGCAGGAAAATATTGTGTATCATGCATAAAGCCAATTGTGAGCTTTATTCTGTTTTGCACCGACAGCAACCTGTCACAACTGGGGTGGCGGAAGCAGAACTCAATCGCAGATTTCCAAACCAAAATACTTTAATGCAAAGCCGACAGGGATCCGGAACTCACAAACAGGGTGACGATATTCAATGTAATAACATTCAATGACGCGGAAGAGACACACATGGCTGAAATACACTGGGAAGGTACAGGTGATTGGACACAGGTGGAAACAATCAGGGACACGGCAAACAGGGGGGCGCAATCGGCGGCGTTGGAGTCAGGCATCGGAGTCAGGCGGAACCGGAGTCGAGGTCAGGGTCAGGCATCAGGGGGGTGCAATCGGCGGCGTCAGAGTCAAGCGTTAGGGGGGCCACAGTCAGCGGCAGCGGAGAGGCGTAACCGGAGTGGAGGGCAGGCTATATGTCCGGAGTGGAGCCGGGACAGGCATCAGGCATCGGGGGGGGGGGGCACAATCGTGTCTGAGTTAGGCGTCCGCCAAGGGGCGGAGCTGGAGTCAATGTCTGGGGTCGGGGAGCCGGAACCGGAGTCGAGGTCACGCTCAGGCGTCGGGGACGGAACTGGAGTCGGGGTCAGGCGTCGGCGTCTGCAATCGGCAGCATCAGAGTCAGGGGGCGGCAATCGGCGGCGTCGGAGTCAGGCATCGGGGAGTCGGAACCGGAGTCGAGGTCAGGCGTCAGGGAGCCGGGACAAGCGTCAGGCGGTGGGGGGCCAACGTTCAATTATTTGAACTTTCGGCAAAAAATTTGCTTAATGCTGTCTTGCGAAAGCCAATTGGCGTTGAGATTCTCCGCTTGTCATCACCACCGTCCTGCTGCCAAAGCGTGAATATACTGTATGAAACTGCCAGAGACACACACACAGCTGAGACAGAATACCTGTAAGTTAGTTGTATCTAACCGAGAGATGCTGACATCGAGCCGACACAACAGGCCATCAAACTGGCTGCTGGTCAGCCTGAAGTAGCGCTTGAAGCGGCAGTCCCCCAGACGCACTTCCTTACTAAAAAATGTCTCTTGTTTTCTGCTTGCTGCTATAGAAAACATATATCTGTCTGCTCTTGCTTCGCCATGGCCGTACCATGTCCTCTGTAGCGTCACTGTAATGCATCAAAAGTGAAACAAATTATTCCCACGGGTAGATCTCATGCAAAGTCAACGCACAGACAGTGAATGGTTACGGAGGAAGCAAATTTTCAACGGGCGGCGCGAAGGACGCCCCCTTTCAGGAGCGAATGAAGGTGAATAAACTACAACTAGCAACCATCATCCCTGTTCCCAAGAAGCCCAGGATCACAGGACTCAATGACTACAGGCCCGTCGCCCTGACCTCTGTAGTCATGAAGTCTTTTGAACGGCTAGTCCTGACCCAACTGAAGACCCTCACCGACCTCCTCCTGGACCCCCTGCAGTTCGCCTACAGAGCCAACAGGTCTGTGGACGATGCTGTCAACATGGTCCTCCACTACATTCTCCAGCATCTGGACTCCCCAGGAACCTACGCCAGGATCCTGTTTGTGGACTTCAGCTCTGCCTTCAATCCTGTCTCTGCTGCAGGACAAACTCTCCCAGCTGCACGTGCCCGACTCCACCTGCAAGTGGATCACAGACTTCCTGTCTGACAGGAAGCAGCACGTGAAGCTGGGAAACATGTCTCAGCCTCTCGGACCATCAGCACCGGTTCCCCCCAAGGCTGCGTTCTTTCCCCTCTGCTCTTCTCCCTGTACACCAACAGCTGCACCTCCAGTCACCAGTCCGTCAAGCTCCTGAAGTTTGCGGATGACACCACCCTCATTGGACTGATCTCTGGTGGGGACGAGTCCGCCTACAGGTGGGAGTCTGACCATCTGGTGTCCTGGTGCAGCCAGAACAACCTGGTGCTCAACGCTCTAAAGACAGTGGAGATGGTTGTGGATTTCCGGCGGAACAGAGCGGAACAGAGCCCCACCCTCCCCCATCACCCTGTGTGTCTCTATTGTGGATTCCTTCCGTTTCCTAGGCTCCATCATCACGCAGGACCTCAAGTGGGAGCTGAACATCAGCTCCATCACCAAGAAGGCTCAGCAGAGGTTGTCCTTCCTGAGGCAGCTGAAGAAATTCAACCTGCCAAAGACGATGATGGTGCACTTCTACACGGCCATCATGGAGTCCATCCTCTGCTCCTCCATCACCGCCTGGTACGCTGCAGCCACAGCCAAGGACAAGGGCAGGCTGCAGCGTGTCCTCCGCTCTGCAGAGAGGGTGATCGGCTGCAATCTGCCGTCCCTGCAGGACTTGTTCGCTTCCAGGTCTCTGAAGCGAGCTAAAAAGATGGTAGCCGACCCCTCTCACCCCGGACAAAACCTGTTTGTGCCCCTTCCATCTGCAGGAGGCTGAGGTCCATCAGGACTAAGACCTCCCGCCACACCAACAGTTTCTTCCCGTCGGCAGTCGGGCTCATCAACAGAGCCGGTCCCCCACTGACTGACTATAACACTTTAACTGTAATTTTTCATTCGTCACTTTGTCGTCACTCGTCACTTTGTCACTTGTTCGATTATTTTTTTTAACTTTTTAAATATTTTAAATTTTTAACTTTTAAAGATTTTATTCTCTTGTTTTATACTAACCCATAGCCTTATTCTACTAACCCATTGCATTAGCATTTCATTTTATTTCACGCACCAACCGCAATAAATGTTTCCTGATTCGTGATTAGTCGGGCGAGTAACTTGTGCGTGTAAAGCGCTGCAAAAACGCAGCATAAAACACACCCTTAAGCTGTATTCTAAATGCAGACAGGAGGACTGTACTCTTGCATGCCAAACCTGTCACTTATTTCTCATACTATCTACCAATCACAGCTCACCATGCTCACTCATTGCTTCCTCACGGTCATTGTTCGGAGCTGTCAATCATGATATCAGCTATCCAATGAGCACCTTGAATCAATGACATTGTTAGCCTATAATCTTGCTGCTGTCTCTTTAAATCTGATTGACTGTCTACCTTCAGTACAATCAAGCCGATACACATCCCTCCAATTCCCCAGCTCCACCCAATCCCCATCAGCTTCATCAACTCATCCTTCCAGCAGCTCATCAGCCAACACCACCACCACACGGGAGATTTTTTCGTGCTGCTGCTCAAGGCAGACGTTAATTGATTACAAATCTTCCTGTAGAGTCTGAGCGCCAAAGACATTATCAACACGAATCATTAATTGATATAAACAATTAACTTTTCTTTATCAGACTTGGCTTTCCTGATTGAACTGACAATTATCACAGCACTGCTCTACATTCAACCAAGGACCCAGACTGTTTTGTATATTTTCTGCAGTCAGGGTGACTATTTTACTTGAGCACACGGTTGATAAGAACATTCCTAAAAGTCTACCATGAAAAGATCCTTATTCCTGGGTGAGCTTTTAGCCGCTTCCAGCTGTTACATTTACTGTTGTCTCCAGGGGTCTTACTAAAACGAAAATGTGAAGAGGTCCAGTTACAGAAAATTTCTAAAATCAAAGTTCTGTAAGATCACAATGTGAATACTTAGTGTGATTAAATAAAGGGAGTGAGGGAGGGATTTACATGTTATCAATAGAGGACTAACAAATCAAATTAATTCAGTAGTGTGTTGGGATGCGTGATGCGTGTGTGTGTCTCCGGCCGCTCACCGGAGACACACACACACAGACTGAATGCCTGTAAGTTAGTTTGTGTGTTACTGAGAGACGCACCGAGCCGACACAACAGGTCATCAGACCGGCTGCTGAAGCAGCGCTGGAAGCGGCCGTCATCCAGACGTACTTCATGGAGGAGTCGGTGAAATTCACGTGAATAATGCGGGACGCGAATGAAGCAAAATGACTACAACTAGTCGGCATGTCAAACTAGTCGGCATGTCAAAAATCTGCTTCGCTTTTGGTGTGAACGCAGCATTAAAACAAAATCAGTTCAAAATGAGTTCTTACTTTTCTGATCAATCTTACCAATCTTTCTTTCTTGAATGTAATCCCCTTTAGCTCCTTGGCAAAGAAACCTCCAGATGTGACCAAGTCTCGCAAAACAAAGACAGAAAATCTGCTCAAAGTGGACGATCACGACTTCACCATGAGGCCGGCGTTTGCAGGTAGGTGTGGATTATGATGGTGATTTATTCTATACAGTCCATGGAGGCCATTACTCAACATCACAAACACTCATGGACACAAAAGCAACGACTTTGCTTTTGATTGCATCTCATCTAAGCTCTGTAGCTCCTGATGAGGACCATCAGTGTTGTGGTCAAAAGCTCCAGAAAAAGAGAGACATTAAAGTCTGGGTTTTGACAATAAAACAGTATCTGTTTAAGTCTGGTGTGTTAATGTTTTTCTGGCTTGATTACAATTTACTTAAAATTCTCTACAGTATTTTCAGATGCAAACATCTTATTGTGCAACTAATAGAAATACAGATATCATTTTAATTTTATTGGACAATATCTCATGCAGAATACAAGTGTCTTTCCAGTGTGGAAGGATCCCCTCATGGGGTCATCGCCTTTAAGATTCAGCAACCAGGAAAGGCCTGGAGTACAAAGTCTGGGGCAGTTTTGGAGGTTTCTGCCTTACGCCGACTATATGTTGCTTTATATGAGTAACAAGAAATCTCAATACAGAAATGCTAAAGATGCTTGAGGTCATTAGAAAACTGTCTCCTTATTGCATATTTTTGTAGACTAATTCTTTCAGGAACCAAATTTAAGGAGTAATACTAGCATTAGGATAAAGAGTGTCCCACTCCCTCCTGTTTCCCTTTGCCTGCGCTGTCCAGATGTGTTTGTACCCCTAGCTTTTTGTTTTATATTGAATAATGGTGTAACATGGTTTCTCCACCAAAAGGATCATTAAACTAGTGGCTTAGCCACTTCAGAATGAAGGAGGCGTAAAATTGAAAACACCCCTACCTTAGCCCCCTTACTCCTTCACATGAGCATGTCAATAACTCGGAGAGAACATGTTGTTATCCAACAGAGACTTGATGTTGCATACAGTTATGAGGAATAATGGAGCAACTTTGATTTTTACTTGTTAACTTGGGCCTCGCTGGATTTAGTTTACTAAACAGTAACAGCTCTGCTTTTTCAGAATGTCAGCGTTTCATTTCATACTTTTAGTTAGTACAACATTATCATAACCAGTAAAACCAAATGCTGTCTATATTTTTATTTACTGAAGTTTTATTTTACTATCCTTTTTTTTAGAATCTTGTGCCGGTTTATATAGCACAGGTACAACTGATTTACCAAAATGCACATGTGAAAGAAAGCACGGAGCAAACTGGACCATTTAACGCAGCAGTGTTTCACTTAATGAAATGAATTTGTTTGAAACAAATCGCTGTCCTTTAACCTTGTAACAAGGACAAGTCAACAAGCATGCAGTGAACCACAGGATGAAAAGAAGAAAATAATTCAGTTATGAATGACTAATGTTTAGCCTCTTTGTTGTTAGGGTTCTAATATAGCAAATGTTGCCGCGTCAAAAGGTATTTAGTAGTATTCCACACTATTGATGTGTAAAGATTCATATATTTCCTAGAAGAAATGCTCAAATCAATCTATCCAAACTTCAAAACCACATTTCCTCTGATGCAACTAATGGTTCTTTATCCGTCCTGACCCCGTAGCTTTCAAATCTCACCTTCCCAGTTTGTAATGCAGCGCCTTGATCTCACCATTAGTGGTTCTAATGAGTGCATACTGTGAACAGTGCCACACTGTAACATTTATATAGGACAAATACACAACCTAAAAGGTTTGCTTTAAAGTCGGATGTGGCTGGTCTTTCAGTGGATAGAGGAGGGTGAGTTTGGCTACAGCGTGTGGTGTATTATTGCTCTTAATCCTCTGTAAAATATCACATTAAGCTTGTTGTTAATCCATGCAGAAGGGAAAGAGGGAGAAAGCCCATCGGCCCGATCATTTGACGTATAGGCTCAGAAGGACTCATGTTATAATGTGTCAACTGTATGCCAAAGCCCCTGTGTGCTTCTCAGAAAATGTGGAGGCTTACCAGCGTGGCAGATTTACTGTAGGTCGCACTTACTTCAACGTAGCCCCACCTAGCACACTGCTGTGTTCACTGAGAGCGGCTTTGGTACGTTGAAATGCAACGTGTCAACTGTTTTAAAATATCCAGAAAATACCTCCTCTGAACCAACCTAAATGCTGTAGCATTTTACATACTAACAGATCACAGGGAAATGGTGCCATTGCAATCAGTCAACTGCTCCCACAGAAGCAGATTTTATAGACCATTTCATAGTTGTAAATATAAAGAACAGTTCTGCTGAGTCCATTATAGTCTTGTTTCACAGATTGTCGACTGGTAGCTGGAGAGGTGGCAGTTGGTGTGGGACAGCTAGATTCTGACATCACTTCTCAGTGTTTGTGTGTGTCTCTAAATCAGTGGTTCTTAACCTTGTTGGAGGTACTGACCCCCACCAGTTTCATATGCGCATTCACCGAAAACCTTCTTAATTGGAAAAATACAATTCAAAACATAGGTATATATTTTACTGGTGCACAAAATGAACCGTGCATCAACATCAGTGTTCAAAGAACAAAACCATTAAAACAATTTTTAATACTTCTGCCAGTTTTGAAAGCAAGGTTTTTGTTGCCAACGCCTGCCTGTGCAGAATACATTGAGTAACAATGATGTGTGGTGCATCGGCTTTCACTAGCGCACCAAAACCAGACTTTCTGCCTAGCATGACTGGAGCTCCGTCCGAACAAACTGCAAAAACCATATGCCACGAAAGATTGTTGTCTTTGAAGAAGTCATCCACAAGTTTCTTCACATCGGCTGCCTTAGTTGTTGTCGGAAGAGGCTTACAAAATAAAAAATCTTCCTTTATCACGTTGTCTTTCACATAGCGCACAAATACAGCAAGCTGGCTTAGATTGGAAACGTCTATGGTCTCGTCCAGTTGAAGGCTGAATTTTGCCGGGCTTGAAATCAGATCTGCAACTACTTGAGCCAAGATGTCTTTGCTCATGTCCTCTATTCTGTCGCTAATGGTGTCATTTGAAAGAGGAATTTGGGATAACTGAACTTCAGCCGCTTTTCCCAGCATGATATTCGCCATCTTCAACACAGCTGGTTTTATCAGTGTTTCACCAATGGTGTGTGGTTTGCCCTGCTTTGCGATCAGTTAAGCAACTTCGTACGATGCTGTGAGGATCGGTTTGTTGATGGGTACAAAGCCGAGAACAGGCAGAGTAGCCTTTTCATTGAATCTGGCTCTCTTCACCTTGAATTCAGCGAGCGTTGTGTTCTTGTATTGTCCATCTCCATGCAGCTTAAGGAAGTGTTCTCTTAGTTTTGCCGGTGCTAGACTAGAATTGCTCAACTTGGCATTGCAAATCATGCAGTTAGGACGCTGACTCCCATCACGTTCCGTTGTACATGCGAATCCATATTGTACATATTCGTCCGACCACTTTCTTCTTTTGCTCGACATAGTTAGTATGAAGGGATTAAAATATTAAGAAAGAAATCACACGACGTACCATCACGACAGTCACAATTTGACTACTGAGCGCGCCAAATTCCCTGCAGCACAGATAGGCCAAGCGATGTTGCGTGATCACCTGCAGCCAATGATGGCCAAGCGGGGCGTGTAATCACGAATCATATGAGTCGGGTGTGTGTCTGGACCTCCGCCGAACCCCTGAGACTGACTCACCGAACCCCTGGGCTTCGATCGAACCCAAGTTAAGAACCACTGCTCTAAATGAAGGAAATAACCACAAAGGGAAATATTGGGATGCATTATTATCATATATAGTGCCCAACTCAAACAGCTGGATCAGGTATTGTGACAATGGTGCCGGACAAGGCCACCGAATTACTGCTGCCCCAGCATGAAAGGCTGGAGGGCCAAGATGGGAGGATAAATCATCCCACAACACAACCTGCTCCTGCTCATTTTTATAGTTGTGGACAGTGTGTTTGACTAACCGCCTTTAGCTAACAGAACTCCCCCTACACACTGCTGAGTACCTTTGGGCTGCTGCTCTGCTATCAATGTGTGTTTTGCAACCTGCTGACGACTAGCTGTGAAATACTTGAATTATGTTATTTAGCCGCAGGATTGTGAATGAAGGACCTTGGTTTGACGATACTTTGCATCAATTGTTGAGTTCATTCAATCACACAATACAGCAGGGGTTGTTGCAAACATACCACTGGCAGACATCTGTACTCTAGTGCGAGTTCCTTAGTCCAACATGATTTCTTAGAATATGATAGGTGGTTCTTATCGTAAGGGGGTAAAGGACAGAGAAGTATTTTTTCACTCTTATCTATCTGGGGAAAGTCAACCGAGCTGTGGGTCTTTGGTGACTCTCTCCCACAACCTCTATTCTAGCAGCTTTGCCTCTAAGCAGTAACTAATCTGTAGGTCTGGATGAGAGGATTCAAGAGGCATTGAGGCATCGCCTAAGCCACTAAAAGTCATGACAATATATATATTCCATTTCGAGGTTCGCCACTCAAAACCATGAAAATAAATAGAATGTAAAGACTGAAATTCCTCCCCCGCAAGTCTAAAAATTAAACAGCATGATATCAACCAAACATCAGCGCTGTGACGGCTGGTACCATAGTTTGATGGAGATTCAATTAGCAGATTGTATCAAGCTTGCTACTGTACATGAAAGGAAAATGTAACCTTCTTGGTTGGTTAGGATCACTGCCGTTTTTCATTCCACAACAAGTTAAGTGTGGACCCTTTTAAACGTGTGCATATTGGCAAGAATGTATTGTTACTACTCCCCCCCCCCTTTGTTAACTGGGACGGGTCATGATCCCCTTAGTAATAACCACAGTTTTTGCTTCTTTTTTTTCTCCTGCAGCATCAGCTTTACACAGAGCTCACTAATGGATGGGTCAGTAGCACCCAGTGACCATCTGTCGACATCAGCTTCATTTGAGGTGACTGGAGTTGAGCTTTAGCCGCTAGCTTCTTCCGGCCTATTAGCCTAGCCTAGCTCTGCCTACAGTTGCACAGCGGACCCCACTGAAGCACAGATGAGCGGATTAAACTGGCAGCGGTTCTTCCTGTTTACAGCTTAGATTAGCA